CCTCTCCCCTCCCCCCGCCCCCCCCCCCCCCCCGCCCCGAGTCTTTCCTTCCCTATTAGAAAAGGAAACTTGGGTCCAATAAGGAATTAAAAATACCTTAGTAAGACAGTTACTACTCTGCTATTGTTGTACTTTACCTGAGTAAGTAGGTGCCTTGTTTCCTAAAAACGCCGCTAAAAGGGAAAGCGTTAGGTTTTCACCCAATTTTCTGCATGTATAACAGGTGCTAATGTTGGCAGAGCAGTCGTGGCCTCTTCTGGCACTGTACCGGCCTTTCCTTGAGCTGGCACTAGTGTCTGTACAGCTGAATTGCAAAGTAGCACTTCGTAGCACTGATGGGAGCTCACAGCTGGTTGGTCTGAGTTTCGGCCAGGCCTGGGCTGGGTCCCGATTCACTTCATCCTGCAGGTACGTGGACAGGGGAGCAGGACAGGAACAAGCTGTGGGGTGTGGGAGCAGGGTTCCTTTGTGGAGTGGTGCAGCAATTGGTAAGTAATTTTAGTAAGTGTGTCATAGTTCAGTATCAAGAATTGAATAGTTTGATCAGGTGAGTCAAAATCTGTTCTGAAAATTTAGCAATGGTCACCTTAATAAATGTTCTGAAAAGCTAATTACTCTTTCATCGGGTGGTTGTGCTGTAATGCTTAGAGTGCTATACTGAGACCAGACACCCACTCCTCAGTGTGCGAAGTGGAAGCCACTCTGTCACGTACAGATAGGAACATTAGCTTTGTGTCCTCATGTGCTTTAGCTTCCTGTAGTCAGTGCAGTTGCCATAAATATCAGGGTAGGTGACCATTTGGCTCAGAGCATTTAACTGCAGTCTGACTCACAGGTAGGTCTTCGAGGGCTTCTCTGCAGGGGCATTAGCTTTGCAAAAATCCCAGCTTTGATCTTGCACCTCTGGAAGATGGCTGAAGTATGAGAAGCGCCTGTGGTCTTCTGTGCCTTAGCAACAGCAGCTTGTGCTGGGTGGCTGTTTGCTTTCTCCTGGAATGCAGACCTGCATTGTGGGCTTGGCCAGAGTTGCCAGGAGAATAACTGAAAGTGGTGGGGAGTCCACAGCTGAGGCGTGTCGAGCTGGGGTCGCTTTCACCAGCCGATCAAGTATGGCCACGCTTGAGCGCTGCAGGTGAGTTGTCACTGTAGAACTGTAAATGCACAGGAGTTGGCCAAGAGTCTTGCAGCATTTTCTGGTGCCCTGGACAGGCTATTGGTTGTTGCGATGTTTGCGGAGAGCCAGAGGATACCAAAGAACATGGGAGTTAAAGTCTGTGTATGTAGGAGGTTGTAGCAAGAAGTCAGAACAGTGATTCTTCAGCTCTCATACTGTACTGACTTCATCTGGGTCGTACTCATAGCAAATTTGTTGAATGCTCCATTCCTTAATAGTATCAGTGCCCAAAAAAATGGGCTTTTCAGTGGGTGTGCTTTGGATCTTTAACTCTTTGGGTGACAAAAAGCATAATTAAGTCTACCTATGTAGCTGTTAGAAATGACTGAAATTTTGCCATCATTTGCCAGCTTGTCTTTAAAAGTTTGTCAGAATCTTGATTTGCTGTAACACTTACTTTGGTCTCCTAAGTTTTGATAGCTTCTTCAAGGAACATCACGAGGTTTTGGGGGGTTTTATGCCCTGAATGCATTGTATCTCTCTTTATTCTTCGCATCTTTTTTCAGCTTTAAGTATCTTTTAAAGGTTATTAATAGTAATTAATAATAATTAATAAGCTAGTATGCAACTCTTAAGAACAGGAAAAACTGCTGTAGTTGTGTATCTGGAGAAAGGTAAGGAAAGCCAGTGTTAGGTTTACTGGCAGCATGGAAGGGGGTGAGGTTTTTTCAATATTGATGAAGGATAGAAAACTTGATTTGAACTTCTCTTAAATGGTCTGTTCACAGGCAGCCTGCTTCTGCAAAGTGGTACGACCGAAGGGACTATGTCTTTATTGAATTTTGCGTTGAAGACAGTAAAGATGTTAATGTAAATTTTGAAAAATCCAAACTTACGTTCAGGTAAGTAACTTGGGCCTTCGCAAAGGTGAAAGGCATGGCGGGGGGGTACCTAAAGGCTATGCTGATACTGATTAGGTGACAAATTTTTCTTAAAGTAGCAAAGTCTGTTAATAAAGCGTATTTGTTCTTGAAGACATTTCCTGCTGAACACAAGCATTTTTTTTTCTCTTAACAGTTGTCTTGGAGGAAGTGATAACTTTAAACATTTAAACGAAATTGACCTTTTTAATAATATTGATCCAAATGTAAGTATCCTCTTACTGTGTTCTTAGTGCTGTATCCTGAAAAATACCACCCATTCTTTAGGCTGCTTGCAGTATTGTGGGCAAATTGCTGCTTAGACCATAAAAGCATGCTCAAATTCAGATCCATGAAGGCATCTCTGGATGGTATTTTTCAGGACAAGAATAAGTTGGTAGCTTAAGACAAATGAGTCTAATATAAGCAGTTTCTGATGAAGTTGGTGATGGTTATACTAACAGATGTTTGCCTTTTTTCAGGAATCAAAGCATAAAAGAACAGACAGATCCATCTTATGTTGTTTACGAAAAGGAGAGTCTGGTCAGGCATGGCCAAGGTTAACAAAAGAGAGGGCAAAGGTGGGTTTGGGCTCCTTGATGGCCAGGGTAGTAGTGCCTGTTGCCTCTCCTCATGCTCATGTTTAAATTGTGTAGCAGTTAATGGATCACTTACCTTGCTTCTTATCAGAACGGCAGTTCTTAGTAACTTCCCTTTTCTAACAGTAACAGCTTGTTACTTGCTTGTCCTTAAATAACTTCTTGTATTGATGTGCAGCTCAACTGGCTCAGTGTGGACTTCAACAACTGGAAAGACTGGGAAGATGATTCAGATGAAGACATGTCCAATTTTGATCGCTTTTCTGAGGTATGGGAAGATGATGAGTACCTGGGGATTTGGGTTTCCTTCTGGGCAAGCAGGGACTGACAGCTACAGGAAGAGGCGTCTTCCTTGGTATCCCTCCTCCTGGTGCTTTCCTGGCTGCTAGTCTCGGTGCAGGCTCTGCTGCTGAGGCACAGCCGTTGCCAGCTTTAACCTGTGCTGTGGACTGTCGGCATGGCAGTGAGATGACCAGTTTGTGTTTGCTATCAGATGGAAAATGAATGTATGTCCCTTTACAGATGCTGGCACTAACTCGGTGCACTGATTGGTTTGCAAGGCAGTTAATTTAAATTTTGTTGCATGCTCACCTTTTAATTTCTGCATATGTGCAGCTGATTTGTCAAAACAACTGGTGGCTGTTGGTTATAACAGTTTTAAGCTATTTTTTAGATTTTTATAGTGCTCCCCTAGCTCTCGTAGAGAGTGGGGTTGGCTTCACCCTGTAATGTGGCTATTATCTCCCTGGAACAGATGATGAACAACATGGGTGGAGATGACGATGTAGACTTGCCAGAAGTAGATGGGGCAGATGATGTAAGTACTTTGCTGTATAAATACATGCAGGGCTGGCACAGTGTCCTGTATATTCATTGCTGCTTGCTGAAATCAAACTTGCATTCCCTCTTCAGCACTGTTAAAACTTAAATAGCACCAAACCTTGTCTGGACAAATGATGTCATCTGGAAAAGTCACACCCTCCGCTCTAGCTGAGGGTGTGGTGTCAATGCTTGCAGTGCCCCAACAGCTTGGTGTCGCCTGCCTCTGCAGTGACCCCTGGTTATCGCGCGTCTGTAGGCTCTGGCCAGTGAGGCCAAACAAAGCACGTCCTGTGGAACCTGGAGTTCCTCAACATACAGGCTCTGACTGAGAGCATGCTTGCCCCTAGACTTTGGAAATGGCAGCTCGTTTTCTGGGTTAGTGGTAGTAGAGGGAAAAGTGCCTTCAAGTGTAGTCTGCTCCAGTTAATGTTTCTTCTTCTTTCCAGGACTCACCAGACAGTGATGACGAAAGTAAGTTGGTGTTCTCATTTGCTTCCGCACACTATGCAGCTGTGCGAGTGCTTGCTGAATGCTCCTAGTTGAGCCAGAGCCTTGAGCAGAGCTAGCAGATGTTCTGTACTGTCAGTCTCGCTAAATCCTGGCTGCGAGCTAATGCCAGTGCCTTTCGTGAGCAGTGTGAGAACATAATCTAGCAAAAGCCTTTCCATGTCAGTTTGACCTTCCCAGACAGCTGTAGTCCTGGGAGGCTTTGGCTTTAAGAGCAGGAGGCATGTGCATGAGGCAATCGGTGTGCGTGGTGCTGGCCCTGCTCAAGTAACTTCTGCATTTGCAGCAGTGGCTGTGCACAGATCTTCCTTGCGCAGAACCAGGGGTAAGGTCAGAGGCCTTAAACTGCCTCATGCCCCTCTTGCTTGAGGGATGGATCTTCCTGCTTGTGTCTGTTGTGACATAATGGGGCTCCTGGTTGCCTTGTTTGTTGGTTTTTTTTTTTTTAAACAAAACAACAACCACCCCCCCCACCCACTAATGCTGTTCTCTTTCTCTTAGAAATGCCGGATCTGGAGTAAGGAAAACTGTTGTCTTCAGGGTTTGGGGAAAGAACTTCATCACAACATTTCATAATTGAGATAAGAATTCCTGAGTTGATAGCCCTAAAGGGAGATCCTGCATCCTTTAACCCATTTTCAGTCCATTTTAAATGGCTTCACTGATGGTAGGTGTGTACCATTGCACGGGGCGGTCTTAAGCCATGAGAGGCAATAACGTTATGCATGAACCGTTTTCCAGACTTCCAAAAAAAAAAAAAAACCCAATTGAGGTGTAGGCAATCGATACAGAAGCATTGCAATAAAGTTTACAGAGCCTCCTTGCCTTGTAGCAGATGTAATTACAACGGGAGAATCCTGAATTTACACCAAGTGGTAGATGAGCATTTTCTTTTCTTCCCCTCTGTGACCTGAAATTGTACATTTGTACCAGGAACAAAACTGGTTGAAACAAGGATGTTGTAATTGGCTCACAAATTTAGCAGGCGCTGTGCAGTACCTCTGTGGTGTCTTCAGGTCTGTTCTGCTAAAGTTTATATTGAAAAGGAAACAAAATTCTCCTCATTTGGTGTTCAGTGCTGAGGCGCGTGCCCCGACCTGGCACAGGTGGCTGGAGCCTGTCCCCTGGTACCGTTTGACCCTAAAGCTTTACATCTAGTCTGGGGTGCGAGTGGCTGTACATTGTTGCTTGTCAATCTGTACGTTTAGACCAAATCGTATTTGCACTGTGGGTATGGAAGCGAGTGACAGACTGTTGGGTGTACGCACGTGGGGCGGCTTCTAACCGGGCTGAAAAACCTCAATTTATGTTCAGAGCAGCGGGGATTTTTTTAATGTCTACATTCTTTCTAATAAACTGTTGAAGACTCCCTGGCTCTCCTTCCGCCTCGGCCCTGTGCCTTCATCTGCCCGTGCCTGGGGTGGGCTTCTCTCGGGCGGGGGCAGCCGTGGGCCGGTGGCCCCCTGGGGCGGTGCTGCGACCCCAGGGCCGCGCTCGGGCACCGAGGAAGGCTCCG